AAGAGGGAAAAAAGAGTAATCTGATGCAATTTGATGAACTTGACCTACACCTGTGGAAGCAGTAGCTCAAAAGAGGGAACAAATTCTTACAACAAGAATCATTCCCACCCCCTCCACACACAGAGTAGACAGGGATAAGCAACTTTGACATTGGTTACCCAAAATGGGGAGTGGGGGCTACAAAGGCAAGAAGTGACAGGCTTACAAGCTTTCAAGAGGGAACCTAGAGCAAGGGGGCCTGGAGGAAGGCAGAATCTCCAGTGAATAGTATCCAGTCTGCCTAGGCGGAACTGATAAATTAAATGCAGATGGTCTCTTGTGATAAAATAGTGAATAATTGTTATCAGGACTGATTGTGAAGGTTGGAAATGTAAAGGTAGACATTTTATAGTAAGGAAGAGAGGGAATAACTTTTCAGTCTAGGAGTGGAGGTCCCTAGGACCATCAACGGAGAAGAGCCGAGAGCGGGAACCTACCCAGAGAAGCAGTGATGCCTGAGATGGAGGCAGAGACAATGACATGGAGTGATGGAGTAGCTGGGGACTTTAGATCCAGAGAGGGAGAGCAACTGTGTGCTGAAGACTGGGGGTGGGAGGTGAGGTTGGGGAGATAGTGTAGGGGGCAGGCTTGCAGGGTATACCCTTTGGTCAGTTGATGATGCATGGAGGGTATTGTAACCATGGCAATGATACGATGTACGATAGAATGAATGTAAAACTAATGTTCTCCCATGTAAACTATCATATAATTCACAATAAAACACTTAAAAAATGCAATTGAATGCATAAGGATCAATATCCTAGGTATTAGTGAGCTGAAATGGACTGTAATTGGCCATTTTGAGTCAGATAATTGTATGGTTTATTATTTTAGGAAAGACATATTGAAGAGGAGTGGCGTCACATTCATTGTCAAAAAGAACATTTCAAGGTCTATCTTGAAGTACAATGCTGCTGATGATAATAGGATAATATCCATATGACTACAAGGAAGACAAGTTAATACTATTATTATTCAAATTTACACACCAACCACTGAAGCCAGTGATGATGAAATTGAAGAATTCTACCAACTTCAGTCTGAAATTGATCAAACATTCAGTAAGATGCCCTGATAATTACTGGTGATTGGAATGTGGAAATTAGAAACAAAGAGGAAGGATCAGTAGTTGGAAAATATGGCTTTGGTGATAGAAATGATTCTGGAAATTGCATAATAGAATTTTACAAGAACAGCAACTTCTTCATGATGCTCCAGGTACATGTCCTTCCTGACAACATGACCAAAGTATGAGACGAAGTCTCACCAACATCGATCTTAAGAAGCAATCTGGTTGTACTTCTTCCAAAACAGATTTGTTCATTGTTCTGAGAGTCCCATGGTACTTTTGGTATTCTTTGCTAACACCATAATTTAAATGCATTGATTCTTCTGCAATCTTCTTTAATTATTGTCCAGTTTTAGACACATTATCAGGAGGAACCAGTTCCTGTAGAAGGTTATGTTTGGTAAAGTGGAGGACCAGAGAAAAAGAGGAAGATCCCTAACTAGATGAATTGGCATCGTGGCACAATGAGCTCAAACATTGCAGGGATTGTGAGGTTGGCCCAGGACCAGGCAGTGTTTTGTTCTGTTGAGCATAGGGTCTCTATGAGTCAGTACCAACTTGATGGCACCTAACAACAACAACAAATATATAGTTGAAAATATAAAAACCTTGATTCCTTCCTGATCTGTATATCTAAGATCAAGGTCTTTCTCTGCTCTCATAATTTGACTTCATATACACATAAAATTTAAAGAGATATTTAAAATCATATGTATATCAGTTTTAATTTTCACAGCCCTAATTTTGTCTGTTTGCAATCATATTGCTAATTGATAACCTTTGTTATTTGATCTGTTTGTTACTTTAGATTTCTCATTAATGTATCAAGCTTCTGGCTAACCAATTTAGTGCTTATTTTTATGCCTTCATTATATAATTTTATAAGCTTTTCCTTTTGAATAAGCACAGCATTGAATAATTTACATTTCTACCTGTGACCTATGTTGTTGTTGTTCAGTGCCGTTGGGTGAGTTCTGCCTCATAGCACCCTGTATAGGGTTTCTGAGGAGTGGCTGGTGAGTTTGAACCACTATCCTTGCGGTTCAAACTGATCTTGTGGTCAGTTTGATCGTGTGGTCAGCTTATCCATCAGTGCCACACCGGGACTCTTAAGACCCATGGGTAGTGTGAATTTTCGTGTTCAGCCCTCATCTAGGAGGTGATGCTGTCTGTCTCTAATTTCTGGTAAGGAAGAGGGAAAAGGAAGCCAGGCATCTCTCTGCTCTTGTCAGGGTCCCATTGTGAGGCTTTATAGTGCCTTTTAAATGTTGTGATATCAAAGTCTCAGAAAGACATAGTTATTTTCATATAAAAATATTTATCAGTGAATAAGGAAGACTGTGACAAATTGATGCATTTGAATTATGGTATTGGAGAATATTTAAAGTACCACAGACTGCTATAAGAGCAAACAAATCTGTGTTGTAAGAAGCACAATCAGAACGCTCCATAGAAGCCAGGAGAGCAAGAATTCATCTCTTATACTTCAGACATATCAGGAAGGACCAATGCTTGGGGAAGGACATCATGATTGGTAAGGTCAGTGAAAAGAGGAAGACCCCCTGTGAGATGGATTGGCACAGTGGCAGTAGCAATGTGCTCGAGCTTAACAATGACTCTGAGGAGGGTGCAGAACCAGGCTCTATTTCCTTCTATTGTGCCTAAGGTTGCTCTGAGTCAGAACTGACTGGATGGCACCTACCAACAACAGTTCCTTTTCACCTTTACAGTATAATACTGACCCCTGAAGTGTTTGCTAATCATAACGTCTGCTCTCCTATTTTGTTAGAAGCAACACTGGTTCAAGACACTAAGGTATCTTTCTTTATCTTGATCGCTCTAATCACTTCTTATATGAAAATAACTACTTTTATTTTTAATTCCCTAAAAGTACATTCTCTTCTCTTACTCAACATTTTCCCTATTTTCCTAGTCTTTCACTGAAATTCATGTATTGCCATCTCCTCTAATGAATATCTTCCATTGTTTACGATCTCTTCTCCGTTCTCTCATTTTCTGTTGACTTACTCTGTGAAGCAGCCACCTATCCCTATCTTATTCTCCCAAGGCCTGTTCTCTAATTTCATAGAGATTGGAAAGCTAGTTTTAAGAGGTTTTCCTACTGATAGGTAATTGTTTCATTGGGAGCTCTGGTAGCGTAGTGGTTACAAATCGGACTGCGAACCTTAAGGTCAGCAGTTCGAAATTACCAGCTGCTCCGCAGGAGAAAGATGAGGCTTTCTGCTCCCGTAAAGATTTACACCCTCGGAAACCCTGTACAGGGTCGCTATGGGTTGGAACCGACTCGACAGCACTTAACAACAACAACAACAACTATAGTATTATCATTTCTTTCAACATAAAAGTCAAATAACACTTGTATTTTATTTTCACATTTTTTAGATGACAAGCTGGTGGCAGGCAAATTGTTAACTGCAAAGCAGGAAATTATTGAATGTGTTACGTCAGCAGCCTTGATATCCTCAGGAAGACTACCTGGGAAAACTCCTTCAGGACAGAGAGTTGAAGAAGCTTTAAGAAGTCTGGACATCTTTGAGAAACAAACAGGAAATGCTGCAAGGAACAAACTGAGTCAGCTCCCTTCTCAGGAAACACATTTCAGCCTGGCAACTTTTAGCAAGAAAATTCCCACAAAAGAAACTGTTCTTGAATGTAATCAAAGGGAAGGAAATTTCAGTCTGAACTCAAATTTTGTTATACAGCAAGGAGTTCACACTGGTGACAAGAGCTACGAGTGCTTTGATTGTGGGAAAGCCTTCTTACAGAGCTCAAAGTTGATTAGACATCAAAGAATTCATACTGGTGAAAGACCATATGCATGTAAAGAATGTGGCAAAGCCTTTAGTTTGAGCTCAGACCTTGTTAGACATCAAAGAATTCATAGTGGTGAGAAACCTTATGAATGCTGTGAATGTAGAAAAGCTTTCAGGGGCAGCTCAGAGCTCATCAGGCATCAGAGAATTCACACCGGAGAGAAACCTTACAAATGTGGTGAATGCGGGAAAGCCTTTAGCCGGAGCTCAGCCCTTATTCAGCATAAGAAAATTCATACTGGAGATAAAGGCTATGAATGTAATGAGTGTGGTAAGGCTTTTGGTAGAAACTCAATCCTTATTGAACATCAAAGAATTCACACTGGAGAGAAACCTTATGAATGTAATGAATGTGGAAAATGCTTCAACCAGAGCTCAGCCCTCACTCAGCATCAGAGGATCCACACTGGGGAGAAACCTTATGAATGCAGCAAATGTAGGAAAACATTTAGGCATAGGTCAGGCCTTATGCAGCATCACAGAACTCACACCAGAGTTTAACTCTGATGGTAGGAGTTGTAGTATTATGAAATGCTATGAATTCACTTTGGGGATGAGACACCACAGAAGATAAATGTTTTATGAGCGTAGGATTTTTGTTTTTCTTACCTAATTCATTACTATAAGAGGAGATCCACACAAAAACGCTTTGTTGTAATTGGTTGAAGTGATGAATTGAAGAACATTTCAGCCAGGTCCTCTGCAAAAGAGGATATAGATATTGGTTATATGCCTTACTGATTTCAGGATGTTGTTGTTAGGTGCCAATGAGTCGGTACTGACTCATAGCAACCTTATGCACAGCAGAACGAAACACTGCCCAATCCTGGGCCAACCTCACTACTGTTGCCACACATGAGACCATCAATGCTGCCACTAGGCCAATCCATCTCGTTGATAGTCTTCCTCTTTTCTCTGACCATCTACCTTACCAAACATGATATCCTTCTCCAGCGATTAGTCCCTCTGGACAATATATCCGAAGTATGAGAGATGAAGTTTGGCCATCCTGGCCTCCAAGGAGCACTCTGGCCACACTTCTTCCAAAACAGATCTATTGGTTCTTTTGGCAGCCCATGGCACTTACAATATTTTCCTCCAATACCATAATTCAAAAGCATCAATTCTTCTACGGTCTTCCTTATTCACTGTCCATCTTTTGCATGCATATGAGGTTATTGATAATACCATGGCTTGAGTAAGGCACACCTTAGTCCTCAAGCTGACTTCTTTGCTCTTCAACATTTTAAAAAGGTCTTGTGCAGCAGATTTGCCTAATGCAATACATTGTTTGATTTCTTGACTGGTGCTTTCATGAGTGTTGATAGTGGAGCCAAGAAAAATGAAGTCCTTGACAACTTCAGTCTTTTCTCTGTTGATAAGAATGTTGTTTATTGGTCCAGTGGTGAGGAGTTTTGTTTTCTTTACATTGAAATGTAATCCATACTGAAGGCTGTGGTCTTTGATCTTCATCAGGAAATGTTTTAAGCCCTCTTCACTTTCAACAAGCAAGGTTGTATCATCTGCATATCTCAGGTTGTTAATGAGTCTTTCTCCAATCCTGATGCCATGTTTTTCTTCATATAATCTAGCTTCTCGGATTATTTGCTCAGCATATAGTTTGAATAAGTATGTTGAAAGAATACAGCCTTGTCACACACCTTTTTAAATTTTAAACCATTCAGTGTTCCTATGTTCTGTTCAAACAGCAGTCTCTTGGTCCAGGTACAGATTCCTCATGAGCACAATTAAGTGTTCCAGAATACTCATACTTCGCAATGTTGTTCATAGCTTGTCATGCTCCACACAATCGAAAGCCTTTGCGTAGTCAATGAAGCACAGGTAAACATCCATCGGACATCAGCAATGATATCCCCCATTCCACAGCCTCTTCTGAATCTGGCTTGAACCTCTAGAAGTTTTCTGTCAATGTATGCTTGCAGCCATTTCTATATTACCTTTAGTAAAACTTTACTTGCATGGGATATCAAAGAGATTATCCGATGATTTCTGCATTCCGTTGGGTCACCTCTCTTTGGAATGGACACAAATATGGATCTCTTCCAATCAGTCGGCCAGATAGTTGTCTTCCAAATTTCTTGGCCGAGATGAGTGAGTGCCTCCTGTGCTGCCTCATGTTCTTGAAAGATTTCAATTTTTATTCCTGGTGCTTTGTTCTTTGCCAGTTCCTCTATTGCATCTTGGACTTCCTCCTTCAATATCATTGGCTCTTGATCATAAGCTACCTCTTGAAACGGTTGAACATTAACCATTTCCTTTTGGTACAGTGACTCTGTGTATTCCTTCCATCTTCTCTTGATGCTTTTGGCATCATTCAACAATTTGCCCAGAGAATCAATAACGAAAGTCGAGGCTTGAATTTTTTTTCTTCAGTTCCCCCAGCTTGAGAAATGCTGAGCGTGTTCTTCCTATTTGGTTTTCTGACACCAGGTCCTTGCACATTTTGTTGTAATATTTGGCTTTATCTTGTTGAGCTGATCTTAGAAATTTTCTGCTAAGCTCTTGGACCTCCTCATTTCTTCCATTTGTTTTAGCATCTCTACGCTGGAGAGCAAGTTTGTGTCTCTTCTGACATCCATTTGACCTTTTCCTTCTTTCTTGTCTTCTTAATGACTTTTTGCTTTCTTCATCTAGGATATTCTTGATGTCATCCCACAACTCTTCTGGTCTTTGGTCTTTAGTGTTTAATGTATCAAATCTGTTTTTCAGATGATCTCTAAATTCAGGTGGGATATATTCAAGGTCATATTTTGGCTCTCGTGGACTTGTTTTCATTTTCTTCAGCTTTAGTTTGAATTTGCATATGAGTAATTGATGATCTGTTCCACAGTCTGCCCATGGCCTTGTTTTAACTGGTGATATGGAGTTTTTCCATCGTCTCTTTCCGGAGATGTAGTCAACTTGATTTTTACGTATTCTATCTGGTGAGGTCCATGTGTATAGTTGTCTCTTATGTTGTCTAAAGAAGGTATTTGCAATGAACAAATCATTGATTTTGTAGAACTCTATCATGCAATCTTCAGCATCATTTCTATCACCAGGGCCATATTTTCCAACTACTGATCCTCTTTGTTCCCAACCTTTGCATTTCAAGTATCAGTAATGATCAATACATCTGGATTGCATGTTTGAACGATTTCAGATTGAAGAAATTGGTAGAATTCTTCTATTTCATCCTCACTGGCTTTAGTGCTTGGTGCGTAAATTTAAATAATAGTGGTATTAACTGGGCTTCCCTGTAGGTGCATGGATATTATCCTATCACAGACAGCATTGTACCTCATGACTGATCTGGATATGTTCTTTTTGACAATGAATGCAACACCATTCCTCTTCAATTTGTCATTCCCAGCATAGTAAACCATGTGGTCATCAGATTCAAAATTGCCAATACTAGTCTGTTTCAGCTCACTAATACCTAAGATATGTTCCATTTTATTTTTGACAACTTCCAATTTTCCCAGATTCATACTTCGTACATTCCATGTTCCGATTTTCAGTGGATATTTACAGCTGTTTCTTTTCGTTTTGAGTTGTGCCCCATCAGCGTCATCACGGTTAACTCTACTTTGAGGAGGCAGCTCTTCCCTAGTCGTATTCTGAGTGCCTTCCAACCTGAGGGGCTCATTTTCCGGCACTATATTTGACAGTATTTCTCTGCTATTCACAAGGTTTTCAGTGACTAAATATTCGGAAGTAGTTTGTCTCTCCTTCTTCCTAGTCTATCTTCGCCTGGAAGCTCCTCTGAAACCTGTCTATCATGGGTGACCCTGCTGGTATTTAAAATACCAGTGGCATAGCTTTCAGAATCACAGCAACTCACAAGCCACCACAGTATGACAAACTGACAGACGAGTGGTGGAATTTCAGGATGAGAGCTCCCATAAATCTAGATGTAACTGTTGTTGGGCTCCTTTGCTGTAAATCTAGAGCTGGAAAGAGATGTTGAAAGAGCTTCATATAAGATGGACCAAGAGGCTATCCTTCCAATGTCAAGTATCCTTCCTGGCAGGAACATTTGTACATTTGACAGATGGAGGTACATGCTGAGAGTTACTAAACTATCTGAGCTGGGATTGTAAAATGCTAAACTGTGCCCTAGATCAGTTTAATAGTATCTGATTAATGTAACTCATTTTCCCTTTTGCTCAGCTCTCTTTTCAGGAAGCTTGGACTTTCCTGTTGAGGTTATTGAAGTCTGCTTATTTATTGAGCACCTGCTTGTGCTAGTTATTTAGGGACAGACTTGGTTACTGGCCTGTCAGACTTAAGGTCTAGTGGGATATACATTTATTAAACAGGTAATTATGGGAAAGTTTGATAAGTACTTTGGTAGGATAAATCCAGGGTTCTGTTAAAATGCAATTTAGAAGTACCTAACTTGGTCTATTAGCCACTCACATCTCAGCTGAGATCTAAAAGATGGGTAGAGGTTAGCCAGGTCAAGGGGGTGGGGAAGAGAACAACATTATAGGCTTAAGTTATTACATGTATGGTATGGAAATAAGAGAGAATTTGGAGATGTTCTTACATCAGAGCTCTTTTCTGTGGCAAGAATTTATTCTCAGAGACCCTAATTAGAAGCCAGGTCATGGGTTGGACTCTATCCTTCTAGTCCTGTAGTAGGGGGCTTGCTCAAAAAATTAATGGAGGAATTCTATTTTCATTCCATTTTCTTTGTGCATTTTGAAGCTCCCTCTTATAAATAATTGAATTAGTCTATGTCAGACCCAGAATGACCCAGGAGACCTTGAAGTACTCAGAAGAATTAATGTGATAGGAGACTCTAGTGTACTGTATAGCAATGGGCACATGTATACACCAAAGGTTAAACATTGGGCTACTAACTGCAAGGTTGGAAGTTCAAACCTACCAGCTTTCCTGAAGGAGAAAGATGAAGCTGGCTGCTCCCGCAAAGATTTACAGTCTGAGAAACCCTATGGAAGGAACAGTTCTACTCTGTCCTGTAGGGCTACCATGATTTGCAATTGACTTGATGGCAGTGGGTTTGGTAGTAGGTTGGTGAACAATGAAAGACTTCATATTAGAGGGTAAAGGGATGGTGGAAGCTGGGAGTGTTTGATTGGCTTGGGAAATGGGAAGCTCTCATGAATACAAGGATGGAAGGTCTCTTCCAGACTCCTTCCTTCCCTATTCTATCCCCCTCCTCTGTCACAAGGCATATAGACCTTACATTACTTGAGTGAAATAAATATTTGTCTAATAACCCCCACAAATTACTCAAAAATGTATTCCCTGCTAATTTTTATTTTGGTAATTTCAATTGACCACAATTCATTACTGAGGGCAATTAATACCTATGAGAAAAGTTTGCTTCCTCTTCTAACATGTCCTGATTTCCTTCCTATTAATGTCACTAATGAAAAATATCTGGCAATCACAACTGTTATGGGTAATAGAGAGGTGGAAAATGGGGGACAGTCTTTGTGTCCAAAATTTGAGATTGTCATTAATTTCAG